CTTGCTGTTTCCCTCTAAAAGATGGGTAATCTCTTCATCATCCCCACCACCTCCCTGTCAGATATCTCTATGATATCCAATGATGAGACAGACAGTTTGCCCCCCACCCAAATCTGTCAAGGAGAAAGTAGCTGTCAGTTTGAATCCCAAATATCTGTCAGTTTGGGTCCCACCAAATCTGTTAAGGAGAATGTAGCTGTCAGTTTGGGTCCCACAAAATCCGTGAAGGTGAACATAGCTGTCAGTACGGCCCCCCTGGAATCTGTCAAGGAGAACATAGCTGTCAATTTGGACCCCGCAAAATTTGTCAAGGAGAATGTAGCTGTCAGTTTGGGTCCTGCCAAATATGTCAAAGAGAAGGCAGCTGTCATTAAGTCATGTGCTGCTACCTCCTCTGCTCCACTGCCACTGCTGGCAGCTACCCCTCTGCAACAGGATTTTTGGGGTGATCTACCCCAATACCTGACTGCCTCAGGAGGTGGCTACTCTTCTGTGGTGCCAGGTGTCTTACAACCCTCACAGCCTGTGCCACTGTCAGTCTGTAGGCCCATAAAAGCCTTCCCAGTCAATATGGGCCCAAACGCCAATGTCCAGCCCTGGATTCCCACCCCCATAGCTGATCTCTCCCTCATCTGGAAGACCACCAATGAGTCAGGCCCAGATTACCCCTACTTTCAGCAGGTCCTTGCTCAAACTTATTTCGATTGTAACTTATGCAGTTACAAACTTATTTCGATTGGTACTATTTGCTTAAAGCTGTGTTGGAGCCTGTAGTCTTTCTCAGTTGGAGATCAACCTATGATAATCATGCAGAATTCGAGGCCCAAACAAACATCTTACTTAATGTCCAGGTGACCTATGATATACTCACAGGGTGTGGGGAATATGTCCATCCTGTGCACCAGGCCTATTTTTAACAGGTCTTGGACCTGGCCCTCAAGGCCCTCATAGCCTGTACTCCCAGGGACCTCTTGGCTTACTTTGGCAATCTTATCCAACAGCCTGGGGAGCTCTTCAATGACTTCCTGGCCTGTGTCCCCAAGTAGATGGAACTTGCTGGGGATGTGGCAAACCAGGTCATTTGCAGCATGACTGCCCCCAGGCAAAACCTAGGACCCGATGCCCCAGATGCAATAAAGGATTTCATTGGGCAAAAGATTGCAGGTCTCAGCCTGCTGAAACACCAGCCTCTTTAAACTCCAGGTCCATGAGAAGGCAGGTCTTATGGTCCACAACCCAGCATGAGATCTGCACCCCCAATTCTAAGGGCCACTGTCCCCATGAGATCCACCACAATTGAGTCCCTAGCCCCATCCCATTGACATGGCTCTCAGATCAAGAAGTATGGGTAGAACAGTGACCTATAATTGAACCCAACCTGTCAATCCTAAAGGAATTAGTTGTAGAGCAGTTAAAGATGGGGCACATGGAATCATTCACAAGTAAACATAGTACCCCCATATTTGTTATCCCCAAGAAATAGGAACACAACCACCTCCTGCAGGACCTTTGTGTAGTTAATGGTCTAATGGAAAAAATGGTGTCTATACATCCAGACCTCCCCGACCCTAGCACTATACCTCCATCTTATTATATATTAGTTTTAGATATTAAGGATTGCTTTTTTCAAATCCCTCTGGTGCCACAGGATCAAGATCATTTTGCCTTTACTGTGTGGGAACCTAATATGCATAAACCAGCTAAGAGATATCAATGGACTGTTTTGCTCCAAGGAAGGAAGAATAGCCCCACTATTTGCCAGTTATGTTTCTCAAGCTTTGGTCAATGTTCCCAGGGATGTTCTTTTGATCCATAATATGGATAATCTCCTCTTGGCACACCCAGATGCAGCCTTTCTGCAAAAAGACTGCCAAAGGAGTATTAGAAGATCTTGCATTGTTACATCTGATGGAGGGTCTAGATAAGGTCCAAGTGGTACCCCCCTTTGCCTTTTTAGGATTTTCCATTGCTAAGCAGGTCTGCCCCCTTTCCTTTATATTGGAAATAAAGGAATTGTACTCACTCTTAGAATTACAATTATGTGGCATGGATAATTGGCTTAAATCTTTCTTGCTCATCCCTAACCAAGAGATAAGACACCTTTCATTGTTGGAGGGCCTTACCTGCCCTTCCACTAAGGTTAGGCTTACCCAAGAAGCTAAAGAGTTGCTACAAAATATTTTGGCCATTTTAGCCATCTCCAGCCTGCAACACCAAGATCCCCAAAGACTCTTATTGGCAATAGTCCTCTGGGATTCTTGGGAGTATTATGGCAATCTGAGCCCCTTCTACGGGTCCATCAAGCACATTCTAACCTGCACAAGATCACCTCTAAGTTTGACCAGTCCTTCCAACTTGGCCTTAAGGCATAGATGCTGGCACGGAGAACATATGGATGAGAGCCCAATAAGCTTGTCTTCCTTTAAAAAAAAAAGAATACTCAGTCCCTCTGGGCAGATTCTATCTTGTTCCAGGAAATGGTTGCAGGATTCACAGGAACTGTTGACAATCATTTGCCAAAAAACAGGATCTTAGCAGAACTCCCCACATTTCCAATACAGATACAGCCCCGTGTAGTCCCCTCCTCCACTCCCATCCCTCATGCCACTCTGATCTTTTCAGATTTCCAGTAAAAACAGATATGGTGTTCTTATCCAGTGTACTGGCTCCAAAAATGTTACATATGTTATCCCTAACCCAGGTTCTATTAAATTGGATGAGCTATTGACCCTCCTCAAAGTTCTAGTAGAGTGCTAGACTGAGCCCTTTAATTTTTTTTTTCTGACAACCAATAGGCCATATAGACAGTTCGTGTGCTGGCCTTTTCTTAAGTCAAAAACTCATTGACCCCCATCACCAGCAACATATTGCTCATACAAGATGTCCTAAATCAGAGGACTGAGTGTTGGTACCTGTCCCATATTAGATCTCATTCCAAATTACCTAGAATATTGGCTCGAGGAAATGAGGTCACAGACACCATCATATTAACAGCCAGTATGGATCTTCTAGAGCAAGCCAGGGCTCTTCACCAGCAATTACATCTGCCTCCACAGAATTTGCATAGACTTCTTCCAGAATTACCTGTTTCCCAATGTAAACATTTATCCCGGGCATGTGCCACTTGTGTCCCTCTTGCCCCCTTAGGACTGCTTCAATGTGCAAGGGTTAATCCCCAGGGCTTGTTGCCTAATGCCATCTGGCAGATGGATGTCACACATCATGGCCCCTTTGGCAATCTTAAATATGTTTATGTGATAATAGACACCTGTTCCTCCTTTGTTTATGCCCTGGCCCTTTCTAGGGAGAAGGCCATCAATGCTATCAAGGCCCTTAAGTCAGCATGGTAGTTATGAGGTACTTTGGGTACTTAAAATGGACAATGGCCCTGCCTATGCCTATCAACAATTCAGTGGCTTTCTCGAATCCTGAAAGATTTCCCATACCACTGGCATCCCCTACAATCCACAGGGACAAGCCATTCTAAAACAGCTTGATTCTCATAATATTAAGGATATTTGTATGTACACATGATCACCAAGACACCTATATGTGAGTACACAAATAAAAAAAACTCAGAAGCAATCTACAAGGTTGTATATTGTAGAACTGAATGAAAGCTATGCTGGACTGCATTAAGTCCTAGGATGGCAGGTAAATCTATGTACACTTAATGCATTAAGGATAGACAGGCAAGACCATTTGAGTCAGATCCTTAGACACACATGCAAATTAACCCTGACAAATAAATAAAAGTAATAAAAATATGAGACCTAAGGAATTGCCTCAGACAATAAAGGAAATCCCAAACAAGGCTAAAGACTAGTTTGATCCATAAGACCCATATGTTAGTTAGAAGGAAATAAATTCCCTATAGTTGTCCTCTGGCCTCCACAAAAGCACTGTGGAATGTGTGTGTGCACAAACAGTAGAGCATTAAACACATGTGTTTACATTAACAAGACAAGTAGTGTTCTTTTGTTCTTTCATTCCCCTAATGATAGGACACTTTCTGGTACCCTATAGACATTATTCTTAGCTCCACTAATTTACACTTAATCATTCCCACTAACTCTCTTAGCTTAAAAGGCTCTTATGAATCTTGTTCCCTCTCTAAGACTTCAATTAGCCCATTTATGTTCCAAAATTCAATTTGCCTTCTAGCAACAAAAGTGAGTCACACTAATGAATCTCTAGACATTTTCACTTCTCACTATTCCTAATCATTAATTTTCCTTTTTATTTTGCATGTGTATTCATATGAAGGTACACATGTGTGTATGAGTCACAATGTTCATGAGAGGGCAAGAGGATAATTTTGGGTGTCATCCTGAGATTTGATCATAGTGTATGATACCTGGAACAGATCCTACTCACATTCAAAGCACCCTTCTCTGTGTTATACCTCTGAACAAAATCATTGAGTTTCATTAAAAGTCAAACTTAAGATAAAAATAGTAGATGCTTTCATAACCAAGTATTCCAAAGTCTAGGGAAGAGGATCAAATATTTGAAAAGAGTAATGCTAAAAGATAAACTTATTGTGAGAGTTTAATTTTTTTTTAGTTAGTTATTTACTTTGATTTTATTTTCAGATAGGGTTTCACTACATAGCCCAAGCTGGCTCTTAACTCATGGTCCTTGTCCTGGTTGGCTCTTCCTCAACATGATGCAAGCTAGGTTTATTTAGAAAGAGAAATTTCAATTATAGGGTGTTTTCTTGATTAATGATTTATGAGAGAGGGCCCAGCCCACTGTGAAGCTGTACTATTCCTGGGCAGGTGGTACTGCAGTGTAGAAGGAAGCAAAGAGAACTTTTAGATGCCTGCTTATTTTCTAATGGGGGGGGGGTATAGTTTTGGATGGGAGGCAAGATCTGATTGGGGATGGTGAAGGCTAATCAAAATATATTGTATGAAAATCTATTTTAAATTAAAAAGAAAAAAAAAAGAATAAGGAAAGAAAACTGAAGAAGCCAGAAAGAACAAGGCAGTAAGCAATATTTCTCCAGCGTTTTTATTTCAGTTCCTGCCTCTAGGCTTCCGCATTGAGTTACTGACTGACTTGCCTGTATAATAGACTGTAAACTGGACCTGTAAACCAAATAAACCCTTTCCTCCCCCAAGAACTAAGTGAACTCAGTGAGTCTAGAAGCATACTGTGAAGTGGAGAAGATGAAACAAAAAGAGGCAGGGGCACAGAAGGGGAGGAAATAAGGGGTGGATTTGATCAAATTATATTATATTTATGTATGAAATCTTAAAATAATAAAGGTTGACTAATGAAAGGCTAACAAACCAAAACAGTCAATAACCCTGAGTTTCTCAATATGATTTTGGTCAGTTATGAGCCTAGAGAGAAAAGAAGCAACTGCAACATGATATCCCCCTAGTACCTATAAATTAAATGAGTGCTACTTAAACCAAGAAAACAGCTTTATTTAAAAAAAAAAAAGCTGTACAGTAAAGTACTAGAAAGGTAACAGTGTGCTGATTTTTTCAAAAGTAAGCATTATTACAAAATTAAGATTCAAAACAGGAGTGGAAAACAACAAACACATGACAATAAGAATGTTGACACCAGTTCTTAAAATATTTTGTATTCCTTCAAAAGAAATCATTTCAGAGTCTCTAACATTCACTCAAATATAACCTAATCCCTTTATCACTAAGGGCAAGTATAACTACTGAAATCAGTGAACTCAATGAAAATATTGTGAAATAGAAGGCTACTTGGTTTACCATGTTTCAAGAGAAATTCAGATGTAACTAAAGACACAATGACTTATCTGCCAAGTGGCTTTGAAACATAAATCAGTCAAATCGGTCTCCAAGACTTCTAAACACTGAGCCATTGCTGAATGAGGAGAGCTTCTATGTTTTCAATGGGTTTACTTTCAAAAGTCAATTTATTGTAAAAATGTGCAAAAGCCAAAGTTTGCTCATATAGTACTGGCATTCTGTACACATATATTACAAGCATTACAGCCTTCCAGAGCCAGGGTGGCAGAGGCCCCTCCTCCCCAGGGAATCTATATCCAAGGAGGCTCAGACAGCTCAGCAAAAGTGCTCCTCCTAGTTTGGGGTCACTGGCCCCAACATTCACCATGACATGGCCTATGGTCTCTCTCACAGCTCCCTACAGCAGAAGCAGAACCCTGAAAAAAAAACCTGCAAGCCACCTCCCACTGGTACTCTTGATTGCAAAGCCTCCCCAGAGTTCCTAGTTAGCTAGGATCACCCAGCTGGGCCTCAGGACATTAGCTTCTCCCTACTGGGTGAGGAAAAATCAAATGACTCAGACTCAGCACAGACTTTTCCAGCTCTGCCCTTCCACCCCAGGGACAGTAAGGTCCCTAGTCTGAAAAATTTGTATTTTAGTAGAAATGCTTCCAATCTCCCAGAGCACTTCCTGTTCCCCTTCCAAGGCACAGGGTCCTGTGTGCACATTCCATTACACACTCTATGTCAAGTGTAGCCAACCCATTGCTTCACAGCTGGGAAGTCCTGCAGTTAAACATAGGTCACATTCAAACAGTAGCTGTTATCACTGTTTAACACTATTTAAAGCAAAAAGAGACCATGAATTAGAAAACAATTGGGTTATCAAGAGTAGGTTTTGGAGGAAGGAAAGAGACTGTGAACATGATGTAGTTATATCAAAGAATTATTTTTAAAAAGATGAAACATACATTATAGTCATGTGTTCCAGAGACTAGGGATTTGTATGAGAACACACCAAGGATTACTCACATATTTTCTCTCTGACTGAAATCTTTTTTTTTTGTTTCGTTTTGTTTTGTTTTTTGAGAAGGGTTTCTCTTTGTAGCTTTTGGAACCTGTCCTGGAACTTATTTTGTAGATCAGGCTGGCCTCAAACTCAAAAAGATTTATCTGCCTCTGCCTTCCGAGTGCTGGGATTAAAGGCATGCGCCACCACTGCCCAGCCCAGATTGAACATCTTAAATGAGGAAAATAACAGTCCTGTTAGGCAGGGTCACACCATTTTATCCAGATCATCTGTATTCGCTGAACTAGTGTTACTACAGTTATTTGGCTTCATTATAGGTTCAGACTTTTATCTAGATTCTTGATTGCCCTGATCTGTGGACCCCAAAAAACAGCCAGTCAGGACATTTACGGATCATCTAAAATTGATTACCTGATTCTACATTGCTAATCTCAACTACTGCCAAAAGAAGAAACCCCTTTCCTTCTCACTGACCAGTCAAGGCCCTGCCTGGAAGGGTTGCAGGAGTTTCTTCCCAGCCCTGGGCAGCAGAGGCAGGAGTAGGTGTGTTCAAATCAATTCTCAACTACATAGCTCAAAGCAAGCATGGGCTACAGGAGATATTGCTCTAAACATAACAAAATAAATCAGTAGCACTTCAGAAAAATGACATTCTAAATGACTGAGAAACACTGGAGAATAAAAATAAAAAAACAGGAATGCATTTAAAGAACATGAAATTTCAAAAACTATACCAATTGAGTTTTTACAATGATAAAAGTAATTTATTTCTAAGATAAAACATGTAGCTATATTGATTTAAATGAAGATTACACCCTTCCCTAGTAGAGGGAATGCCTTTAATAAGAGACTGATTGTCCTGCCCATAAACATGCGTTGGCTGCTGATATCTGTAACCTGACATGTAGCTTGAGTTTTCCTGCCTGGTCCATAGTCAGGACAAATCTCTCTCACCTGCCAGTCCCACAGCTTCTCAGACCCAACCAAGTAAACACAGAGATTTATATTGGTTACAAACTGTATGGCCGTGGCAGGCTTCTTGCTAACTGTTCTTACAGCTTAAATTAATCCATTTCCATTAATCTATACCTTGCCACATGGCTCATGGCTTACCGCCATCTTCACATGCTGTTTGTCATCATGGCAGCTGGCAGTGTCTCTCTGACTCAGCCTTCCACTTCCCAGCTTTATTCTCCTCCTTGTCCCGCCTACACTTCCTGCCTAGCCAATGGCCAATCAGTGTTTTATTTATTGACTAATTAGCAACACATTTGCCATACAGAACATCCCACAGCACTGACATGACAGTCAATAGCCTGTTTCTCAAACCTCTGAGCTGACTTAACTGTGTCAAACAAGACTAAATATATTTGAGTAGTAGAGTTCCCTAATTGGAAAAATGACTTATTTTTAAATCAGTAGGGCTTTTGTCCATATGAGTTTGAAGGTGCAAACAAAGTAAAAAATGGACATTATCATGCTAGACAAGATTGTTGATATTGTCAGATTTTTTTCTTGTTCAGAATAAATAATCTTTTTTAACTGAATAAAAGTGTGTTGGCTAAAAATTTTACCAAATTTTTTATCATCATATTCCCTCTGGTATTAGTGTTTCAGATCCTCAAAGATTACTGTGATATTAACAGATTGGTTGCAAACTAAAAATTTACTCTTGTAAAAGGCTATCACGAAATGCAAAACATTACCACACTGACTACAATTACAGGGTTTCTTTGTAGTATGATTTTTTTCTCGTGATTTAGAAGATTTTTGATACATGCAAAGGCTTTACCACATTGAGTATATTCATGGGGTTTCTCTGCAGGATGATTTTTTCTCATGATTTAGAAGACTTCTGATACATGCGAGGGTTTTACCACATTGAGTACATTCATAGGACTTCTCTACAGTATGTGTTCTTGTATGTGCATGAAGATTATTGAGTTGTGAAAAGTCTTTACCACATTGATTACATCCATAGTGTTTCTCTCCAGTATGTAATCTTTTATGTTTTTGGAGAGTACTCTGATGTGCAAAGGCTTTACCACATTGGTTACATTCATAGGGTTTCTCTCCAGTATGTGTTCTCTCATGCATTTGAAGATGACTGTGTTGTGAAAAGGCTTTACCACATTGATTACATTCATAGGGTTTCTCTCCAGTATGTGTTCTTTTATGCATTTGAAGATTAGTGAGTTGTGAAAAGGCTTTACCACATTGAGGACATTCAAAGGGCTTCTCTCCAGTATGTGTTCTTTTATGCATTTGAAGAGGACTTTGTTCAGCAAAGGCTTTACCACATTGAGTACATTCATAGGGTTTCTCTCCAGTATGTCTTCTTTTATGTATACGGAGATTACTGTAAAATGCAAAGGCGTTACCACACTGATTACATTCATATGGTTTCTCTCCAGTATGCGTTCTTTTATGTGCTTGGAGATGACCATGACTTGCAAAGGCTTTACCACATTGACTACATTCATAGGGTTTCTCTCCAGTATGTGTTCTTTTATGTCTTTGGAGATGACCATGACTTACAAAGGCTTTACCACATTGGTTACATTCATAGGGTTTCTCTCCAGTATGTGTTCTTTTATGCATTTGAAGAAGACTCTGTTCAGCAAAGGCTTTACCACATTGATTACATTCATAGGGTTTTTCTCCAGTATGTCTTCTTTTATGGATTTGAAAATTACTGTAAAATGCAAAGGCTTTACCACATTGAGTACATTCATAGGGTTTCTCTCCAGTATGTGTTCTTTTATGGATTTGTAGATAACTATGATATGCAAAGGCTTTACCACATTGATTACATTCATAGGGTTTCGCTCCAGTATGTGTTCTTTTATGCGTTTCAAGATTATTGATTTGGGCAAAGGCTTTACCACATTGACTACATTCATACGGTTTATCTCCAGTATGCAATCTTTTATGTTTTTGGAGAGTACAGCGATATGCAAAGGCTTTACCACATTGATTACATTCATAGGGTTTCTCTCCAGTATGTGTTCTTTTATGTATTTTGAGACTACTGTGACTTGCAAAGGCTTTCCCACATTGGTTACATTCATAGGGTTTCTCTCCAGTATGTGTTCCTTTATGTATTTGGAGACTACTGTGACTTGCAAAGGCTTTACCACCTTGATTATATTCAAATGGTTCCTCTCCATTATGTGTTCTTTTATGTATTCGGAGATGACCATGACTTACAAAGGCTTTACCATACTGATTACATTCATAGTGTTTCTTTCCAATATGAGTTCCTTTATGTATTTTTAGAGTACTCTGATGTGCAACGGCTTCACCATATTGAATAACTTCATGGGGTTTCTCTCCAGTATAATTTCTTTTGTGTCTGCAAGGATAATAGGTACATATAAAAGCTTTACCACACTTAATGCATTCATAACTCTTCCTATAGTATGAGTCATTCTACATTTGCAAAGTGAACCAAGATGAACAGAAATATTTACCCATTCCTAGTACTCATAGGGCTTTTCTGCAATGTGAAGTTGTTGATGTATTACCAGTGAAGCTCAAAAACCAATTATTTGTAAACCTGAATCACATTCAACAAATCTACTCAAAGTGCAGACTACTACATATCTTCTAATTGAGACAGAGAGAAAAAGATACATTTTTTCCCATATCCCTATGCCCATATAGCCTATATCCAGAGTGACATATGGTAAATCTATTAAGCAAAGAATAACAAACAAAAGGTTTCCACACTGTATTCACAGTTTGACTATCTGTTCCTCATAGACATGTGTATAGGAAATAAGGTTTCTCCACAAAAATTGCCCCTTGACTCTTGGCTCTAACTTCCCCCTCCCTAAACTTAGCAAAGTCACAAGTATATGAATAACAACAGCTTTACTATGGATTATTTGATTAGTAGAAAGCTTTAGATATATACTTATCACCTATTCAATGTAGTATACCTTTTGCAATACCTGACTGTTATGAAACTAAATGGATTGGCAGTTCTACAGCATAGTTCTCATGGGCCTATGATTCAAATGGTGATATCTGTTAAGGCATTGTTTCCTTGTCTTCTCTCTTAAAAGAATGCCTTACAAACATAATTCACCTACCTGGTCTTAAGGTATATGGTTTTGTGAGAATTGAATAATCAACTATGCACTTTAAGCTGAGCTTATTTATATCATTGCTTTTCTTTACAACTTCCAGGACATATTAAAATTTCTTGAGAGGCACATTTGTATCAGCTTGTACATGAAAATTACCTTCTGTGTCTTCTAGAACTTTCACAATGTTCTTCAATGTTATGGTCTTCCCAACTGTAGCCTAAAATATAGTACCAGAAAAATGTATGGTATATTAATTGAGTGACTATCGTCAGTGAATCTTAGAATCATGTCTAATTTATTCAGCTCATCAATAACTAAGGAACAGTTGTCCCCTTATTTTAATATGTGAAGGAAAATTCAGTCTTACCTATAGTAGCGAGGTTCCAGTAGGTCTCCAGCATCACATCTTTATAGAGATTCTTCTGAGAAGGATCCAGCAAAGCCCATTCTTCTTGAGTAAAGTTCACATGCACATCATCATAGGTCACTGCATTCTGAAAGATCCCATACATGTGTACAACAAAAAGCATGATACTGACAACATTGTAAATGTATACTTCTTTGACAATATAGTCATATAATTCTGGTGTTTCCCACACTTAATCCATGACATGGACATTATAGTATCATCACAAAGGCACTTTAGAAGGAAACTGAATAGGAGGTTCACCTGTCATTTCTGCACCCTTTGAATGGGATATCACATTGCAAAAGAAATGACTATTAGCAGACGGAGAGACAAGCAAACAGATCAGCAGTACTGAGTACACATCGGAGAAATTGTGTTAACAATTACTAACTACAAAAAAAGAAAAATAGCAGGCAAGCTGGGTGTATTGGGTCATGCCTTTAATCCCAGCGCTCAGAAGGCAGAGAGTGATTCTTCTGAATTGAATGTCACTCTAGTCTATGCAATCAGTTCCAGGGTAGCAAGACCCTGTCTCCTCTGCAAAAATCAATCAAACAAAAAAATTAGAAAGAACTCAGAAGTTTTTACTGAAGTTCCTACAAAGAGTTATGTATTCCCTCCAGTTCTGTATTCATCTTCCAGAAACCTGAAGTGCCCCAGTTTAACTCTAGCATTAATAAGATCTTATTAAAAATGAGTGTTTAAAGTTACAGATAGACAGATGAAAACATTAGCAATGCAAATATTGATCATAAATAATTAACATAAGGCAGGAAAGATGGCTCAGTTTGCTGGTCTTGCTTATAGGTAGGCTGAATTGCCATTATGTACATGGGGGATCACAACTACCCATTATTCCAAGTTCAGGGGTCCATTTTTTGACTACTGTGAGCACCAGGCACATATGTGGTGCATATCCATGCATATAGGCAAAATGCTCATATTTATTTTGAAAAATTCAAAACACAACAGGCAGGAAGAATGTCACACATCTGCAATCCAATTACTCAGAAGGCTCAGGCAGTATTAATGTCATGAATACATGCCATCCTGGGAAAGAGAATGATATCCTCTGCCAAATTTCAAAATTCAAGATATAGGTGAAGTTCAGCACAACAGCACATGCTTAACATGTACAAAAACGTACATTCCAGGCCTATCACCCAATAATATAAAAACAAAGAAAGCCAGAAATGTTGTCCCACCTTTAATCCCAGCACTTGGTAGCCACAGTCAGGTAGATCTCTGAGTTAGGGGCCATCCTGGTCTACAGAGCCACTTTCAGGACAGCCAGGGATACACAGACAAACCTTGTCTTAAAAAACAACAAAATTAAAATAATAAAAACTGCAGGCTAGCAAAACAGCTTAGCATTGAATAGCAATTGTTTCTATTATATTTTATATGATTTAGGGATAGAGTCTATAATGATGGTGAAGGTATAACCACAGGAGATGGAAGCCAGCTGATCATTTTCAACCACAACATAGTAATGTTTCAACTACAATACCTACCGAGGAGGTTCTTCATTCAATCAACTACATTCTGAACCAGGTCACTATAGGCTCATGGCCGTCCATGAAGAAAGTGCATATAGTCACTTCAATAATCCTAAACAGCCCCTACACTATTCAAATGTCCAAAGTCCTTCTGACACTCAAGACAATCTCTTGATTGTGACATCTTGTGAAATCAGAAAACAAATCATATCTTTCCAACATACAATGGCACGCAATAGCCATTCTCATTCCAAAAGAGAGGAATGGGTACATAATGAGGGAAGATTGGGCCAAGACAAGACAAACCCAGTAGGGCAACCATCAAATCCTATAGCTCTGTGTCAGACAGATAGGACTTCAGTTTCAAAGGGCTTAGAAGGCCCTATTCCTGCAACTTCTCATACATCTCTCTCTCTGGCTCCTTCCACTCTCTATACATAGCTCTCCGTGATAGATATTTTATAGCTTAGGCATCACAACATTTTATGGTCTCAAAATAAAACCTAGGGTTCATCCTCACAGCATCATGCAATAAATTCTCAGTCTCCTCACTGAGACTCTTGACTCTGCCAAACAAACTGCCTGTAACTGTGCTGAACTGAAACCACAGACTAAGAATCCATGATGTCAAATCTTTCTCATTTCCAGAAACAGTACAACATCAATGATATCCCCAACTTTGGTTTCCAAGCTGTGATTGGGCCAGAATTGCAGCATGTTTTGTATGAAGTTGCTTACTGGAACTAAGAATCACTTTGCCTACTCCTTCCATTAATTAAGGGCACAGAAGGATGGATTCATACCCTTAGGGTACCCTGCTAGGCATCCAATGTAGAGGGAAGGACTGCTGTGAAATGGTCTTTCTGTATACTGTGAATATGTGTTGCTACCACTGGTTAATAAAGAAGCTGCTTTGGGCCTATGGCAAGACAGGCCATAGACAGGTGGGAAACCCAAGAGAGACAGATACAAGGAGAAGAAAGGCAGAGTCAGGGGAAATGCTGAGAGCCAGCAGGGAAGCAAGATGTAATGGAATACAGGTAAAGTCACGAGACACGTGGAAATACACAGATGAACAGATATGGGTTAATTTAAGATGTAAGAGCTAACTAGCAAGAAGCCTAAGCCATACACCCAACAGTTTGTAATTAATACTAAGCCTCTGAATGATTACTTTGTAAATGGCTGTGGGACCACGGGGCCAGGCAAGATAGAGAAAAGCTCTCTGTCTACAAAGGACTTCCTCTTTAATGGTGATAATCTCCCTGAAAATTTCTGCCTCTGTTTCAGCACTTGACTGCCATCTGAAACTACCTAGTGCTGTTTCTCTGTACAACCCCATAGAATTTTTATTTACTTCTGCCCCACTTGCTTTTTTTCACTGTAGTCCTGAATGAGTCATCAGTAATAGCCATCCAAGAGATTCAATGTTCCAGCTCAGTAATCAGCCCATTATTTTTTAATTCCACCTTCCTCAATTTCTTGGGACATGAGTAAAATAAGAAAGGTTTGGGGCCAAAATATCATACAAATGACCTCTAGCCTAATTTACCATGAATTCTGCTTCCCGTTGAAATCCTAATACCTGGACCCCTACTGTCTTCATTACTCTCAACACACCCATCTTCCAGTTCCTACAAGAGCAATTTATTAAGCTCTGTGTAGAGCTTATTGTAGCTAGAGTTTTCCTGCCTGGCCCACAGTCAGGACAAATCTCTCTCAACCGCCAGTCCCACAGCCACTCAGACCCAACCAAGCAAACACAGAGACTTATATTGCTTACAAACTGTACGGCCATACCAGGCTTCTTGCTAACTGTTCTTACAGCTTAAATTAATCCATTTCCATTAATCTATACCTTGCCACATGGTTCGTGGCTTACCGGCATCTTCACATGCTGTTTCTCATCATGGCAGCTGGCAGTGTCTCTCCCACTCAGCCTTTCACTTCCCAACTTTATTTTCCTCCTTGTCCCGCCTATACTTCCTGCCTAGCCAATGGCCAATCAGTGTTTTATTTACCAACCAATCAGAGCAACACATTTGCCATACAGAACATCTCACTGCACTTCCCCCTTTCTTTTTTTAAAAAGGAAGGTTTTAACTTTAACAAAGTAAAATTACATATAATTTGGGAATTTGGGCGTAGCTTCTCTTACTACTTCCTGCTGGAGGGGGGCGCTGTATCTTATGGGGACACAAAGAAAATTTTAGAATTATGGAATAGTCCATGAGGGTGTATCGTCTGAGCCAGTTGCCTTGAAACCATTCTGGATGTTGGATCATCTGGGCCATGGTGTCATTGGAGACCTTTCAGGGGGTCTTGGCTGGTCAAACCTGATGTATCTTAATCTGGAACAAATCCATAGCCTCTGGCTTTCTGTGGGAACAAAAGCAGAGTCTCCTTTCCAAAGCAACATATCCTTATATCCAAATTTTGAAGTCATGGTATCTTTAAAATATGCATATTGGTTTAACTCAACATCTTTTATGATCAAATGTTTTTCTGCAGTTAAAAATCCCAAAGACAACACAATCCAGATTCTCTGTGTAATATCCATTTTTACGTGGCTTATTTTTTATACTACCTTTACTGTCTCTTTAAAGACTTTATTTTTTAAGACTATGTATTTGTTTCTATAACTCTATATATCACCTTTTTTGTCTCTTTCAAGCCTATGTATCTTTTACACACATTGTAAACTATTACATCTGAATCTGTCTTATTGTGAATCTACTGCCTTAAACTGTAGCAGCTGTGGCTGCTGGCTCCGCCCACCTCAGCTTCCCAACATGGCGGTGGTTTACCGCCAGCTCTGGGAGCTATCATGGGTCTATGCTTTTAGCCAAGCAGCGTGTAGCCCAGAAACCTCTTTTTTTTTGTTTTGTACTAGAAAAGGCTAAATCCACCATGCAGCTTAATGTGCCACTTGCAGAGGCCTCATTCCTGCCATACTGCAGGTTGAGCGTGCACACTAGGAACCCACCAGTAGCTCAAACTGGCAGCTGCTGCTCATTTGAGAGAGACAATTAGGAAGCTGTTTTTAGCTCCGTTTTAGAATCTTTTCTCAGGTTTTAGGTGGAAACTCTTGCCACCATGTTGGACGCCATTTGTAGCTAGAGTTTTCCTGCCTGGCCCACAGTCAGGACAAATCTCTCTCAACCGCCAGTCCCACAGCCACTCAGACCCAACCAAGCAAACACAGAGACTTATATTGCTTACAAACTGTATGGCCGTACCAGGCTTCTTGCTAACTGTTCTTACAGCTTAAATTAATCCATTTCCATTAATCTATACCTTGTCACATGGTTCGTGGCTTACCGGCATCTTCACATGCTGTTTCTCATCATGGCAGCTGGCAGTGTCTCTCCCACTCAGCCTTTCACTTCCCAGTTTTATTCTCCTCCTTGTCCCGCCTATACTTCCTGCCTAGCCAATGGCCAATCAGTGTTTTATTTACCAACCAATCAGAGCAACACATTTGCCATACAGAACATCCCACAGCAGCTTATAGCTCTTGATATCCAAAGTCTTGATATCTTCCACATTCCTCTAAAAGATAGTATTCCCAGGTTCTGCCCAGCAACAAAGTCACTTTTGGTATACCATTTTTATTCTAACTTGAATCTCTGATGCTGAGATTAAATTCTCTAACCAAAAGCTTCTTAGGTAATAAATAGGTTTATTTGGATGATTATGTCAGATTACAGTCCATCATTGTGGGAGCTTAGGATAGAAACTCAAGTTAGCAAGTGAAGGTAAAAACCACAGGGAAACTTTGTTTCTTGGCTTTCTCTCTTACTTGTTCATTGTTTCATGTCCAACTAGCTCTCTTATCCAGCCCAGGCATACTTTCTTTGGGATATTGCCACCTTCAATGGAAGGTCCTTTGCACATCAATCATCAATCAACACAGTCTCTCACAGACATGGCAACCAGTCATTCTGATGGAGGCACATCCTCAATTGATGTTCCCTCAGAGGACTGTAGGTTCAAATATGCTGACTGCTGGTGCTAACTAGGAAACAGAGACAATCATATACAAGAAGGTTTTAAAAACCAAAACCAATTAACCACATCAATGATTTAAATAGCAAAAATGCAAACATTGATGATAGTAACAACTGGAAAACACAGATAAACCAAGAAATGAGAAGAGGCAAGGCTCTAAGATCAGGAAGAGAAAACTAAAACTGTTTCTCCACAGAAAGTCTCCAAACCAACAAAAACTCAAGGAACTCATAACATAATGTAGTAATCTGTCAAAATACAAAAATAGGTAAAGGTCCATCATATAACACAAAAGGCACCACTGATAAAAGGAGGCACAAAGATAGACCTACAAATTTAACATGGTCCTCTTAAACAAGAACTACAAGATTCTAGCCAAAATCAAAAGCAAGTATCATCCCTTGAACACACCAGCCAAGAAGGCCAGTAGAAAAAGGCAACACTCAGCCAATACATGCTCTAAAAATCCAGAAAGCAAACAGAAACCCAGTAACAAAACTCTTAAATATTTTCTTTAAATGCATTACTGCTCTAATCTCTTATTTGTTTTTATTTTTCAATAGTTGCCAGTCATTAAGAATTTCATTCTAGGGGCTGGAGAGATGGTTCAGTGGTTAAGAGCACTGGCTGCTCTTCCAGAGGACCTGAGTTCAATTCCCAGCAACCACATGGTGTCTCACAACCATCTGTAATGAGATCTGGCGCCCTCTTCTGGCCTGCAGGCATACATGCAGACAGAACACTGTATACACAATAAATAAATAAATCTTTAAAAAAAAAAGAATTTCATTCTAGCTGGGCGGTG